GGGGGGGGGGGGGGGGGGTGCCTTCCCACTGAGACAGAGTCATATTTCAGGGCTGTTCTGGGCCACCTTTTGGCACTGTCACCAAATGGCTGGTCGTTTATGGGGGGGGGGGAAGCACAGAGAGTTCCTTAGCCAGACCTGGTGAACCGATCACAGGGTTAGTACCATCAGAGCGTGGCAAGGTCACTCTAGATATATTCCTTCAGGAGATTTTAGGGGGCCACATATCTCCTGTGAGTGGCAATGGCACAATTTAACATGACTGATAAGTGCACATTGAGTGTGTATAAAGGACAAATTAACAACACTATTATGGGTAGCCTAAATGCGACTGACTGCAGCATCTTCTCTCAGTGGCTAAAGTCTCCTGCAATTGGATGCACACTCTATCCAGAATGTCCCCTGCCCTGTGCCCCGTGCCTGCGACTGACAGGATTCAAAGTGCAGCGACGTCAGCGGGAACCGAGGCGGCCGATGCGTGCCGGACGGAGCCCCGTGGCCGCGCTGGCCGGCTCGCCGCAGCCCGCTGGGCTCGCTTACGCCCTGCCCGCCGCGTGAAAAAGGGACACTTAAACGCAGCTGAGCTCTCAGCGTCGCAGCTGGGCCGCGCTGTCACCCCACGCTGCCGTTGGGGAAGGAAAGAGAGCTTTTTAAAAGCAAATAAAAAGGTCAGGTTTCGGGGATGAAAAGCGGGTCCGCGCTTCACTGGCTTGCAAAAATGCAGCCTGTGTTTCACATTAGAAAATTGTTTTAAAGCGCCATTGATTTTGAACACACGGAGACAGAAAAACAACATGAGCTACCCAATCGCTCAAGGAAACATTTTTAACATTTTAGGATATCATATATGAATATATCATGAAAGGTATGACGGAAATAATTGATTAGCATTGCAGTTCATTTATTTATTGAAGGGTTTCGTTACCTGTAAATCGGAGTTGAAAATACCAATTTTTATGTTGCTTATTGTTCAACAAGCCTTTTACATAAACTTCTGTAAGGTCCCGTGCTTCGTATCTAAACCATAGGTACCACCACACCACCCACGGAGGTGATCATAAATATAAACCTCATATACTGTATGTGAAGACACGTAAATATGTCCCTGTGCTGTTTATAATATCTTTGTAACAGTATTATATTGTACCCTGCTTTCCATTCAGTTTGTCACATTGTACCTTTGTTCCAAGGTTGCACCCAACACTAGCAAACTGGACACGAATACGTGTCTATTTCGTAGCAAATATTGTAAGTGAATGATGTTAGCCTATTTAAAGCAAAGATGGGCGTTTTTTAAATTAAAATGCTACATAAGAAATGTTACAATGTTACGTTAGACTGACAGCCCCAGCGGGGCGGTTGCACGCGCCGCTTTCCATTTCAGCACCACTTACTCAGAAGACGCTGATCGGAAGCCGCAGTTCTATTTTGCTTTTCCCGGCATTACATCGCTTCTGTATTCCCGATACCTAGACATTTCCGTCCGTCTCTTAAGTCTCTGACACTTTCACCGAATTTACCAGCTTTAGGCATAAAGACTTTGTGGTCGTTCCGGCTCGGCAACGATCAAAGTCGGGCAAAACTAAAAAAATAAAAAAATTAAAACGTTGTCTGGCAAAATTATGACTAACCAACTTCTAGCCACGCACAGACTGTGCACTGTGGTGCTTAAATTCCTGGGTCACGATGAACGGTAAGAAATGCTGACAGTAAAGCGTCCCCAACATAAGCAATGATACCGCGCGGGTCCAACGCTGACAATATGAAAAATGTCCCAGCTGGATGTTATTTTAAAATCTGCATGACAGCAAAATTTAATAACTTTCTAGGGTTGCTATTAAACTACAACTGATCCAATATCCCGACTGATTCTGCCATATAATTACATATTCAAGCCTTTGTATGTTCCATTGTGACAAACCATAGGTTACAGAGCACAGTCTACCGAGGGCTGCATCATTATTGTGACTGCTGCTGTTGTAATGTAACTGTTGTAATATAACTAACACACGCGATCTGTTTTATAATTATTATTTTCTTATCGTTATTTATTTCTTCACTTGGCATTGCCATGCGGCGTCGCCTTAACGTCCATTTCCCACCAGCATTTCCTGAATTTTTTTTTTGTCCGATAAATAAGCGATTAAGGAAACATGCCCTTACCGTCCACAGCCATGGAGGGTGCGAGAGGGGATCCGTCAGCGGTCGCCTTCAGAAACGGCCCCCCATGCTTGCGAGGTGCAACCCGGCGGCGTTCAAAGCGACCCGACGCTCCACGAACTGGGCTGTGCGAAACTGACTTACTAGCGACTCCTCTCCGCCCGGATCGCTGTCATCTGGGGGAGAGGGGGATGAGGGGGAAGGGGGGCGAGCTGCCGGAAACGCGGCGCCTTCAATCCCCTCCCCTGTATACCTTGATCGCCCGAACCGCTGCCGGGCGGGCAGAGATACGGCGTCCTGCGGCGTGCTCACCGTGTAAATGTGTGGGGCAGAGGTGTCGTCATGTAATCTGTATTGACATTATGAAATTGTCTTACAAATAATAAAACACCTCCCAACTAATAATTAATTTTGTAATAATGTAATAGAAGTAATTGATTTGATTTAGAGACATCTTAATTGCCGATAATAACACATAAAATGCGTAATTATATGCCTCGAAATCAAATTAATCACATATTTTCCTGGATAATTTGACCCATTTAGGTAAGGCGGATGTTTCCTGAAGCAATTTGGGTTAAATATTTAGCTTAGAGATTTTATCCATATTTGACATTTGGCCAAATTGCAATATTAACTAATATTCAAAGTGAATGGACTTGCCTTATAAAATCCAGGGCTGGTCAATCCTATAGGTGACATAGGCGGCTGCCTAGGGCGCCAACGTCCGAGGGGGTGCCGACTTGCCAGCCAATTTGCCTCAAATGGGGGGCGTCAGTGAAGATGCTCACCTAGGGCACCACCTCAGCTTGGACCGGTGCTACTCTTATATTATTAATATCCATCCTGTTTCATAACCACTTACCCAGTATGGAGCTACAGTCAGTCTGGAGCTCGTCCCAGGAAACACATGGCAATGGGCAGGGGACTCCCTGGATGGGGCGCCAGTCCATTGCAGGGGTCACTGCTACACTGAGGGACTTTTCTGAGACACCGTATAACCTGTCTGTGCCTTTTTCCACATTTGGGGAGGAAATATGAGGACCCAGAAGGAATCGGCACATGGGGAGGACATGCAAAATCTGCACGCAGAAAGACTGTCGATTCAGCAACAAAAGAACAGTACGTGAAATATAATGACACTAAAGGTGGAAATACAGTGTTATACCACTGAGGTTTGCCACCTTAAGTGTTTCAGATTTAATTCTACGGAAGTGTGCGGAGAGATTTCATTACTGCTCATCATTATCCTGTGGATTTCCTTCACCATCCAATGATGTGCTTTACGTGAACTGGTCTGTGAATGAGAAGATAAACATCACTGGCCTTAGAGGAAAATCGATATAACGGTGAGCAGTGGTGGGATTTGAACCCACACCCCCAGGACAGCTGGAATCTAACTCCAGCACCTGAGACCACTCGACCACAGCTAGCGTCTCCCCATGGATGCCACCCTAGCTGCTGATCCTTTCATGCCCTCTCCTTCTCAGCATAGTCTCCCGTGAGCCAGCATTAGAGAAACAAGCAAAATAGATTTCTTGGTTCTGAATGGTCAGGAGGTAATTGCATTAATGTATTATATGATTCTAACATCTCTCAGCCTCCTGTGAAACTAGCAACTTTAGAATTAAAGGGTTCAAATGTTTCCTGGGTATTCAGGCCAACTGACTGGGCATAATAGGTCTCCTTTATTCAGTGTCTCAGAAAATTCAGGTATTATAGAAAAGCCCTTTCACTCACCCTGCCTGCTGAATGGGGTGTTGGGTCCACTTATCATCCAGTGCGTCAGTCATTTCGCTTTTGTTCAGTCTGTTTGGTCCAGAGTGTTTGGGAGACCAGGACCCAGACACGGGGCGTTACATCCCGGTGACTGCGTAGGGAGAGAAGGGGGTAACACGCAACACGACGGAGGGGAAAGGAAGGTGAACAAAACGCAGTGTGAAAGCGACATATACAGTATGGCCCGATTTATTGCCACCTATAGGACATTTACAGCATATTTACAATATTTTGTAATATTGTAGATATGCTGTAACTATCCCCCAGCCCAAGTGGATTGCAGGCGGCGTCAAAGAAAATAATAACAGTGCAAAAGAAGCTTTCTTCTCTAAAGTTTAAATTCTTCTATTCAGCTAACTGACTTCAGGAAAAGAAAAGGAAGGAAAACCAGACTGACTGTCTACCTGAAGATAAAACACAGAGGCAGTACCCGCCTCTAGTCTAGTGTGGTTACACATCTAACTTCTGGCAATGTGCCGGCGTGGATCTGACCACAGAAGGGCAAATTTTATCCTGACCCCAAACCCAGACAACAGGTATAAATATCTAAGGAACTTTCTTGAATAAAAGCTGCACCCATGCAGGTCAGTCTAAATACATGTGCGCACAGAGCACAGATAATCACAGAGCATAGATGAGCATAGATAATCACAGAGTACAGATGTGCATAGATATGCACAGAGCGGCAAGGCAAGGGGGTGCTGTAAGTTTTTTTTGTCTGTAGCTGGTTGATGTCATCCTGGGGGTGGGGCCAGAAGTAATTAACCAACCCAGGTCCTCGGTGCTCAGGACACAGGTGTGCCGAAGCTTACCAGGAGGGGATGATCGTAACAACGGGCGCACGCACATACTCCCTATTTACCGAACCAAAGTCTGTAACCGGGGTCACCTTCCTTTGTCTGACCAGACAAGAGCAAAGAAGACTTTGAGATACAGGGAAGATACAGGGAAGATACAGGCCTCGTGACATGGTGAACCAGCCTAAAACCGGAACACCTAGGATCCTAAGAAATCTCACAAGGATTTTTTGTGATTGATATTTTTTCTAGTATTGAGATTGTCTACTGATGTATGAAGAATAGTCGTTACGTGATAATCGGCTGCACCTATGTGCATTTACCTTCAGCTCGTGCGTTTGGTGTTTACAGAGGACGACACAAAGCCTTTAGGTTTGAAGCGCTCAGTGTCCGTGCTGGCGAACATCCCGCCATGAGGACGGTATGCACAGCTGGCTCTCTGGTACCCAAAATGCCAACTGGCCAGCGCTGCATAATCAGGGCTATTTTTGGACATTCGGAGAAAGCCGGTTATCAGCTGTGATGCTTGATCCGGGCTGGGGACCCGCACAAGGCAAAATGAGCAGAAAAGACAGCCATTAAGAACAGCACACAATCAAAGCCGGCTCTGAAGTCTTCAGAAAGGGAGTTGTTTCTTTGAGGTCAAGTGCTGGAAAACAGCCCCGACAACTGCTTGTTCTTTGTACTTTAAACAGCACCTTTTTTTTTGTTCTAGCCCTGGGATGCATAACAGGGACGGCATGAAACATTCAGCTAATGGTTATGTCCACCGCAGTTACAGTCCAACGTGACAAAGATGTCCCCGGTTTCATAAACTAGCAGGAAAAAAACCTGAAGCTCTTTGATGTGCATTGAGACCAACAGGCAGGCTTGTTACTATCTATCTATCTGTCTGTCTGTCTGTCTGTCTAATCTGATCATCCTAGTTGTTTAGCTTGCATTTTTCATGAAGTTGTTCCTGTGGATTATCCCATGTTCTGAAATCAGCATGAACACATGCACAGTTGCGTGATTGTTTATTAACAATGAATCCTGCTCCTCTGCGATGTGTTGGCGCCCCAACAGAGTTGTTTTCTGCCTTGCATCTGTAATCTCTGGGATAGGCTCCGGACGCCCGCGACCCTGAATAGCATAGCGGTTATAGGAAATGGATGGATGAATGGATGGATGGATTGCTTTGCTGGTGGCAGAGTCGCTTATCTGAGGTGATCCATATGGCTGTGGCTATCCTGGTATCCTTCAAAGACTGGTCAACCCATCGGGTTTATGGCTGATTGGGAAGTTCTTCATTCTCCAGTAAGATAACGACCCAAAAGTGAACTTCCACATTGTGCAGGAAGTATCAAGTGAAGAAGAAAAGTGAAAGAGACACTGTAAGTAATAATCAGGCCTGTCCAGGCATCAACCGCACAGAACATGTACAGTCAAAGCAAAGCAACCAGCAAGCACCTTGCACATCTGGCAATTGCTGAGGAAGAGCTGGGAAACCCCATCAATCGATTTCCTGCCAAAACTTGTTAGCCAATTGTCACATGTCTGTGAAGATGTTTTCCAGATGAATGGCAACTATTCTGGGAAATCCGTGAGTTAGAGACAATTTCAGTATTTTTGAGTACTTCTTATGTTTTATATTTTGTTAACCTACAGAGGAAGTTAGACACAACATCAGAGACTGATAAAACGGCATGGAACTGGTGAACCGCTCTGGCATATTTGATTAAATTTTTAAACGTTTCTAAGTAACGTTCAGAAGACTACAATGGACCTCAATTTAAAGTTCCAAAAAACATCAATCCATTTATCCGTTCATTTTGCCATGAGCGCTTTTCCCAGTTCAGGGTGAGCAGCTATTACAGAAACGCACTGCAGGACGGAAGCTGACAAGACGCCCAGTCAGAAATCTCATAAGTGGGAGAGAGCAGGGGGAGGCAGGCTGCTTTAATTTCAGTTTTATCTGAGGCATTGATTAGCACTAATAGTCCTTAAGGAAAGAAGGTCACTCAATATCAGGGCCCTCGTTCAGTGGGCGTCTGATAAATGGAGAGGCGATTCAGGCATCGAGTTAACTTTCAGAAGCGCTGCTGACTTACAAGAGGAGTCAGCTATGTAGGGCACTGGGGTGTGGTGTATGGCTGAGTGGGCTAGGCCTATGTGTTTGAGAGCGGGAGGTTGTTGGTTTGAGACCCATCCTCTGCATAAGAGACACATCTTTGTTGGGTGTTTGAACAAGTCCCATAACCTCCCAAAAAGGTGCAGCTGTATAAGTTAACGACAGGTGAGTGCAGAGATCATTGCATGACTTTGCCTCGCCCCAGGGCGTCCATCTTGGCTTTGTTCTTCACGTCATGTGCACCAGAACACATTCTTCAGAGCCATTCTCGCTCTTACTCTGTTATTAACCTTTTCTGATTACTACCTGTTTGGAGGAGACCATTGTAAAAAACGTTTAAACGTGTTTTCAGCAGACTCCCTTGTAGTACTGTTACCGGAATCTCAGTTAGAGGCACGGAGGCTCTCTGCGAAATGCGCAGGCCTTTTGTAGCACCAAAGCCTTCATCTGCCTCCATTTCCAGCCGTCCTTCCCTGCGGCCTGCAGATTATTTCCCTTTTCAC